GACAGATATCTGAGATAGATAAGGCCAACCTGCTCTGCATAGTGAGTTCCAGGTCAACTGTCCAACTGTGGCTACAGGGAGACCCTGTCTCAAAAACACCAAAAAAAAAAAAAAAAAAAAAAAGGCAGCTTAGCTTAGCATCTGCCATTTGGGGGCTCAATTGTGTTTTTTAAATTAATGCATTGGCATGGCTTTATTATTTAGCAATCATTACATAAGCTGAAATTACTCTATAGAAGAAAAAGATGCTAGTTCCAGAAGATAAAAATAGGAAATTCTTAAATACATGAAACATATCTAGTAGCTTGCCTGATATTTGAAGGTAATTGAAAGCCTCTTTCACTCTTATGATTGAATGCCATCAAACATTGACACACTTCCTGTTTAAATGAAAAGAGTTATAATTTTTTGTTTGTCTTTTGTTTTTTGTCTTTTTAAGACAGGTTCTCCCTGTAGCCCCAGCTGTCCTGGAACTCACTGCATAGACCAGTCTGGCTTTGAACTCACAGAGATCCGCCTGCCTCTGCCTCCCGAGTGCTGGGATTAAAGGCATGCGCCACCACTGTTATAGAAACTTTTTCAGATATTATCTAATTAATTCCTAGAAGAATCCTCTGAGGTGGGCTGGAAGAATATTGTTATCTCCACATTACAGGGAAGAAAGCAGCTGATCGTGGGATTTTTCCGCAATATCACAGAGCTTCTGTATGGATATAGTAATAGACGTCAAAGCCTTTATCTCTGGGAATGAACCTGTCTTAAGACTTATCCTTATTCTAAGTTGCACAATTTATCCAGGTGACAGGCTCAGGTTCCTGTTCTGAATGTTCCATCACAGTTTATCTAACCTGCCTCTTCATTGTTATTTCTAAAGTATTTTCCCCTATAGGAGTGAGCTCTTCCTCCTTCCTAATTAAGGTTTACGTGGACATGTCTGTCATAGTTGAATCACATGTGCCCGTGTTCCCAGTGCCTGATTTCCTTTTTAGTGTACCTAGAGAGAGACACATTTTCTTCTGTCTCACTGCATTATCTTTGCCAACGGAGGATCTGTAGGGGCTCAGATAACTGCCTCTCAGAGAGTCAGCCTTTTATCAAGCATTGTTTGTTATGGGCACAGCTTTGATATTTGCACTGATTACCTCTTGTTGATAATTAAGATGCATTGGTTCATGCTAGCAGCAGAATTGTGGCTATGTAGACTAAAACACAAACCATGGATGTAGGCTAATCAGATTTGATTCCTGATTCTGTAATGTACTGGGTGATCGAGTTCACTCTTTGGAGCCGATTTCTTCTTTTGTACAATAGGGTAATATATTAACAATATATACATTGCAGGGTTATTGAGATAAATGGTAGGTATTTTTCTTACAAGGAATGAGGTAGCAGAAAAATTGCAGTCCTACAGCCAGATTTCAGACATATTTGGGCAGCACATCTATTTTGCCTGCAGCTCTTCTCTCATCCCTGCCCTACTCTAAGAGCTTTCTGTCCTGGAAGGCTGACGGATGAAAAGTACATCGGCATTCTTTGCCCTCTGGCTCAGTTGCATTTGGCTGGTGGGGAGTCCTGGCAGCAGATCAGAGGGGGGATGGTATGAGGTCACGTGCTTTCCCTCACTGCCTTCCTTCCAGGCTGTGCTCCAGAGAGTTTCCTGCTGTGTCAAAGAAGACTGCTCTGCAAGGTTCCCTTCCTCTAGGTATTGGCATCCATCCTTCTGCTTGCCCCTTGAACTTAGTTTGTACAATTCCACCATTGTCTGCTACACAGACTGAACTGTCTTTTTGGATCTCTGTACCCTACCCACATCCTCTCAAATCATCTTTATCAAACTCTCTTTAAATGATCCCAATCTTAGTCTACTGTCTCCTGAGATCCTTATAAATGATTCACTAAAGCTTAATTGAAATTGGCATTGGTATGTTTTATTTGTGGAAGTTCAGACATTTTAGGAGCAAAAATAAGAACTGGTTTTGTTATTGCTTGCCTTTTAAAAATATTTTATTTTAATTTTATGTGTTTGAGTATATTGCTTGCATGTATGTATGTGCACCAGTGTCATGCAATGCCCACGGAGGTCAGAAGAAAGCATCGGATCCCTTACAGCTGGAGTTACAGATGGTCGTTAGGGCCATGTGGGTACTTGGAATCAAACCCAGGTCCTCTGCAAGAGCAGGCAGTACTCTTAACTGCTGAACCATCTCTCCAGTTCCTTGCTTACCTTTTGATGCTCAGAGAAAGATGTAGTGGTAGTGATGATGATGCTGATAGTGCCACCCATCTCTTACAGGCCAAGTGGTTTCCTAGACACTGCTTTCTACACATCACCTCATTCACACTCAAGTATCTTTTTTGCAGACATGTCAAGTCATTTAGGGCTATACAAAAAGCCAGCTGAGGGCTGAAAGCCAAGCCTATTGGGTTCCCAGGGCCACACTCTTTTGTGAAGGCCAGGCTGCTGCTTAGCCAGATGGAAAAGGCCCATATCATCAAAAGTTGGTTTTTAACTAAATTTATTTGCTTACTCAAATTACTGTTATAAATTCCTATAGGAAAGTATCTCTTAATGATGGCATTAAAAGCTTTCAAGTCAAATTTGTTAAAAAAAAAACTTGATTAATTCAGCAAACCTTTCCATGTCAAATTCATTATTTTTCTGATTTCACTGATTTGTTAATTTGAAACCATTGATTCACTAGCTCACTGTGGGTAACTGCTTCATGGTTGCCCCCAAGGGTACTCATTACACACCAAATGAATAATTAAATATTTCCAATGAGTTTCTCCCTGATAATGTGTAAGCTTCCCACAGCCATTATCTAGATGTTTTCTCTCCCTAGGCATAGAATATTTAGCTCATAGTAAAACTATTTAATCCACTTCTCAAATGAAATGAATAGCATAATTCCATATTTTCTGAGAAATTACTAGATGATGAATACCATAACTGATCATAAAGGTGACTAAATTCCTGGAGGCATATGAGCTGAGCATTTTTCCTTTATGGATTAGCTCCTCTATTGAAACCTTCCTCTCTTAAAAACAACAACAAAACACCACACATACTCAAAAGAAATGATGATTTTCTTCCCTAGAAACTCACATTGGATAATGTGTTTTTCTCTTACCTTTAGGCAATAATTTTCAACAAGCTAAAAAAAGGTTTTATCCTTTCATAACTTTGAGGTCCCCAAGATGCATTTGGGAATATTCTTAGCAATAATAAAGTCCATTCTCTTTTGCTATCTCTACCTTGCTGTTAAGGGACCTTTCTTTGACTTTCCTAAAAGTATCTCATTTTGATTTTCAAAAATATCCAGAGAGTGACTCACATATGATTTCAGCAAATTTCTTCAGCCTCGAGAGTGTCCTGCTATGGGCTCCTGGAGAGCTTGGTGAAGGTCACTGTTGACTGGTATTGCTGGACTCTAGACTCCTTTGTTGCTGATGGCTAGCCATATGCTGGGGCCACAGCTCTGCTGTACTCCCTATGGTCTCCCTGCTTTGGATTAGTATTTTGGGAGGGGATTTTTATGAATTTTTGCAAATTTTGTATGATATATTTTGATCAAATTTAGATTCCCCTCTCCCATTTATATCCCTGTGATATCTCTCACTCACTTTCATATATCAAGGCCTATAGAGTCAAACTTGTGTCCCCATATGCCTTTGGATGTGGATCCATCCACTGGACCCTAGTCAACCTACCAAGGGTCTTACCCTTAACTGAGACTGATTCTCCCCATCCCAATAGCAATTAATGGCCAATAGTTCCTTAGGTAGATTACTATTTTTTAAACAGTTATTTTGCTTTACTTCCATTTTCAATTTATAATTCATACTGTCTTGTACTTTGATATTTTCAATCATTTTATCAAAGCCAACTCCTTTAGATCTTGATTTCCACTATTCTTTTTCCCTAAACCTCAGGCACATCTTGTTTCCTAAAGAAGCTTAGAATATATCCAGTGATAGGGCTGCACACTCTTGCTGCCAACAGTCCACACTTACAACATCAGCCTCCTACATCTACATTGTTAGTCTGTGTTTTGGTCTAGCCTGTTTACCTCATCCACTTTACCCTAGAGTAATTTCTTTGTCAAAAGGCAAATCGGCCCACATGCTAGTCTACCCTACATATATGTAAGTCATGTCCAGATTCAGAGGGGTATCAGAAACGAACACAACACAGGTAGCTGTTTACTTTGCTCTTCCCTCAAAACAGTCTCCTTTCTAGTGTCCAGGTGAGTGAAGATTAGGTACAAGTGACAACTGTTCTTTAATAATAATCTTTGGAATAACAGTTATTGTTTAACCAGGTAAGCTCCCTTCAACTCCTCTCAAGCATTCTTTATAACCTCTTTGAACTAAGGAGTTCAGAATAGAATTTACTTTGTGGCTACACTGTTACACTGTCCTGGATGCCTTTCTTTACTTTTATGGAGATTTATTGGTAACACACGCATACACACACACACACACACACACACACACACACGAGAGAAAGAGAGAGAGAGAGAGAGAGAGAGAGAGAGAGAGAGAGAGAAAGCTGTGATGCCACACTTATACTATTCCTTCAGTAGGAAATCTTCTCCTAGTAAAAGACAAGGCTACCTTGCTAATTCCTTAGTGAAAAACTGAGGGGTCCCTAGTTGTCCCATCAAGAATCAGTACATCTCACAATTCAGCTGGTCTTCCCTTCATGCACGCATCTTTAGACTGTGTCTACCACACCTATTTATTTCAGTCACTAAAGAAGTAGGCTTAGATATTTAACGGAGAACAGATGGTGCTTGAAGTCTGTAACTTAAAGTTAACAAAAGCTGTTTGGGAGATGTTGCCTATGATACTTTTATTGCTTTAAACACGTCAACATCTTAGCCTGTTCTGATGAATTATTTAAGAATTACTGTCCTAGTCCAAGGCAGCACTTTGAAGAGCACGTGTTAATCATATACTTGATTAAACATTTCCTTGCCTTTTTTTCACCATTCCAGTTGCTTTTGAGTGAATAATTGCTACAGCGCGAGCACTGGCATTGGAAACGAGTGGTGTCTCAGCTACTTAAAACTCCACCATGAAAAGGAACACTTGTGATTCGCTTTCTCGGAGCAAAAGTGTAAGTACCTTTTATTTTTATTTCCTTTCTAAAAAAATCTGCACATGCAACTTTTTAGTTTTCTTTGGATTTTAATACTGTGATGTCAGAATTAAGTTTGTGGGAATCTTCAATTGACTTTCAGTTCTCTAACTATAAGCAGTTTTTTTAACAAATGAAGACTTATTTTTCTGTGTGGTCTGTGTGACATTTGATGGGAATTCTCTTTCAGTCAGTTTATATGCCTTCCCATTCATTCATATAAGCCTCTTGATATGATACCGAACACTCCAATATTTGAAAGCAAAAAACAAATATATAGTTAAAATTAAATGAAAAATATATGTCTTCAATGTTAAACTTTCTGGAAATTTGAAAAGTCATAAATTGGAAATATGTTCAAAGTAATTACCAGCCAATTGCATCCTGAAACTTCACCCTTCCCTTAGCTGTATACTCTGGCCTAGGTCTCCAATTGCTGATTTTAATCTTCTCAGGGCTGTAAGCAAAGTTAAGCATTCTTTCAAATTGCATAGTATCCTTAAGGTATCAAATTATGATATATTTTACTTTTCTATCACCCTATGGGGAGGAGAGCACACATACATAAATAAGCAGAGGAATTCAAGGAAAGCTGCACCGGGCAAGGACAAAAGCAGGTTTAATTTCCATCAGGCAAGTTTTAACAACATGCCTCTTTGTTCATTTACCCAAGGAGAAGAAGCATCCAAACAGATGTGGTTGTGACGTAGGACCATTCATCTGAAGACCTCAGAAAAACCGCAAATGCAAACACATGTCTCTAGTATGGGAGGCTTTGTGTTTCATTCTGTGATTTTATTACGATGGCCCAAGGCCGCCTTTCATTCTTTCTGTAGAATTAGGATGAGTGTGTGGGGAGGACAGGACAGTATGCCCTTATGGGATTTCTTTTAAAAATGAAGCTGTATCCAGAGGTGTGCAAATCATTTGAGTCCCAAGTTTATTAACCAATCAACCAAATTCAACAAACTGATGGAATGTTCAGATTCATTTGTTTTAGTAGGTGGTGTTTTATTGTATGGAATTTGCATAACATAAAAGGTCAGAGCACTGAGCCTGGAATTTTTTTATCATCATGCATAGTTGCTCATTGTAATAGGGGTGACCTGCATACAAATTGCCAAACTATGAACACATCTGTTACTTAGTTTTCTTATTATAAATTAAATATGAAAACAAACCACTAATATCACACTTCCTTTTATTGACTTCCAGGGGCATGTGATTTGAGAAAAATGTATAAAGGCAAAAGAGAGAGCATTCTGGATAATTAAAATATATCATTAAACACTTCCCTGTTCTTGGAGGAAAAACATTCTAAAAGCAAATGATTAACTGAGTCATGACTTTAAGGAACTACAAGTGCTTAATGACACTAGAAGATTTCCTATTTATATTTGTTTTATGTGAAATTTTTTCATCTTGCTGGAAAGGCTCAAGCTTCCTAGATTAAGAGAATCTGAGTTGCTTACATTTGCCCACAGGTCAACAGCAGAGCTCTCATTTCTCTGCATTCTCCTTTCCTCAGAATCCACTGGTGCAAAGAGAGTGCTTTCACCTAAGTGACTCTCCTGCCTAGCTGATTACTCTGTCTCAGGGAAAAGAGCCAGCTGTTTTGCTTAGTAAGAACTTGACACTTTAGAATTTCAAAAGTTCATTCTGCCCTGATCTAACATGTCACCCCCTACCACTTACGTTTTGCCACGACGGAATCCAAAATTGTATTCTCAAAAGTAGCTGTTTCCTACTTTTCTCGTAGAAAGTTTAAATAATTAATTTGATCTAGAAACTAACCGTTCTTTACTTCTGCATTATCATATTTGAAAATCATGAGACTGAAAACATTAAAGGATAAGGCAGTTTCTGTTCCTGCCACACGTTACTCTTAGGGCCTGTATCTGTCACTGTGAATTAAGGTGTATTAGTTATTTTTCCCATTGCTATGACAAAAGAACTGAAAACAGTAACTTATGGAAGAAAGGGCTTATATGTGTCATAGTTTGAGGGCACTGTCCACCATGGCACAGAAAGCATGGTGGCAGAAGGCTGAGGCAGCTGGTCACGTTGCATCTACAGTCAGAGCAGAGGGTCTGGAGAGATGGATTAGCTGTTAAAAGCACTGGCTGCTTTTGAAGAGAACTTGGGTTTGATTCCCATCACCCACATGGCAGCTAACCACCATATGTAACTCCAGTTTCAGGGAATCCAACACCTTCTGGCCTCTGCAAGCATTGCATGACATGAGTGAAATTACATACATGCAGGTGATACACTCATACACATAAAATAATAATAATGCATAAAATATAAAAAGAGAAGGAAAAAAGCAGAGAGCTGAATGCTGGTGCCCAGTTGGCTTTCTTTTCTCTCTTTTCATTCAGTAACTTGGTATTGTGCTGCTGACATCCAGGATTGGTCCTCTTTCTTCTGGAAGCTCCCTGGAAATTGCCCTGACAGACATACACAGAGATATGCCTCCTAGGTGATTCAAATCTGGTCAAGTTGACAATGAAGACTGATCATTGCGTAAAGCATGCAAGAGAAGATCGAGGACAGACTGTCCTTACATAGTCACACTATTAGTGAGTTCCCCTTACTGAACAGTGCCAGTATAGTCTCTTCTTGTTAGGTCACTATTCTCAGCGTGGGTTCCCCTCTCCATGACCTCAAACCCTCATTTCCTCCAAAGCCTCCTATCTCCAAATATCTCACATTGGGAGTTGGTGATCTATTTTTTAAATTGACTATTATTTTTATTTTATGTATATGAGTGTATTGCCTGCATGTATGTTAGTGTACCTGTGTTGTGCAATGCTCACAGAGGTTAGAAGAAGACATCAGATCCCCTGGAACTGGAGTTACAGACTATTGTTAGCTGTCATGTGGGTGCTGGGAACTAAACTCCCATCCTGCATAAGGACAGCCAGTGCTCTTAACTGGTGAGCCATCTTTCCAGCCCATCTATTGTTTTTTAAATATTTTATTTTTGTGTATGTGCATGTGCCTGAGTGTCTGTATGCCATGTGTGTGCAGGTGTCCCTTGTGAGCTGCCTGAGGGGCTAGGAACTGAACCCAGGTCCTCTGAAAGAACAATAGTATATACTCTTAACCACTGAGTCATCTCTCCAGTCTGAGAGTTGGATATAGATGAGACACAACATTTAGTCTACAACAGAATCTGATATTCTTAAAGGATGATTTTAATAAGCCACCATGATACTTATACTTAATGGATTGTGATGAACACTGAAGGACAACCATATTCTTTCAAATGGATAATTGTTAAAGTAGTCTGATTTCATCTTCTACAGTTTATGCTAGAGAACTCTCTATAATGGTTTCAAGTTTCCATCACCTCCTCAGAGACCTAGAGGCTCATTTTAATTTTGCCATAAACATTTTTCCTCTGTCATTATTCCTTTTGCTTATTTTATATACCTCGTTTGTAACATCCATCCCAATGACACAGGTTTCCAAAGTGCCTTGCCCTGTCAGTGAACATACTGATTGAGTTAGTTTTTCAGAGCTTTATGAATTTCAGACTTGGTGGTTGGTTTTACCCTTTCATCTCTTCTGCTAAAGCCCATGTCTCACTGCTTTTTGGTTGGTTATGAGAGGAAAGTAAAGACACGGTAAAGAGGAAAGTAAAGATAATGGGATAGGACTTTTTAATATTCTCCATAAATGTTATATTTTGAAATAGGATATTTCAAAATTTTAAAGCATGGTTCCTTATCATATCATTGTTGTTATTCTCTGAACTTATGAATTTTAGTATATCTTGCATGGTGAATGAACTGGATAAATTTTAATTCATCATTAATCAGTTCAATTATATTGACTTATCATGTATCTCTTAGCATCTTAGATAAGATTTCAGTATTAATTGTCCTGTAGTCATGTTCTTCCTACCAGTTAGAAGAGATCTGAGATATCATCAGCCCAAATAGGTTCTTTATTTTCTTGATGAAATTATCCTCTGTTTCACGTGGGTATTATTTTTGATGCTGTACATTTACATAAATTTGTCACTCACCAGAAGTCTTTATTTGATGTTCCCTGTTCTTTGGGATAGAATTGTTCAATGTGTTTATTAAAAACTGGATGCAACCCCTGGCTATTTGCAGGGAACAGATTATCTGAAAAATTCTTCAAATGTTGAATTTAAAGCCTACCTAAATATACTGGCAGTTTTGAATCCAGGATCGGGGATCCCACCTGTTGAAATGTGCCCAGCATGTTCTCCAAAATTGCTTCTTTACAAACATGACTTAAAAAATGTTGTCCAATACCTGTATACAGAATTTATCTTATTCTTTAAAAGAGTAATCTTTTTTCCAATTCTACCTTTGCATTACTGATTGTTTTTTTGGATGCAGTCATTCTCCTGAGAACCTCAGGGTGAATAATTTATGCCATTTCATCTACAACTCATTCTAGTGGTGCCAGCCTGACAGGACAGGTCAGAAAGATTTAGAAGAAATGACCCATTCTTTTGTGCCACTGCAAAACTGCCTGTCTTTCCTATTCCTCACAATTGGGGAGACTGGTTTGGGTTTTTATGGTCAAAGGAAAACTAATGGAGTCTTTGCCAGATTAGTGTTATTTTCCTACTAAATCCATTCCCCTCTAAGGTACACGGTTAAAAAGCTGTATCAGCATGGTATCCTGCCAATTAAAAAAATGTCAAAACCTTGATCTTTGACTCCTATCCACGCCTTAGGTAAAGAAGGTCAGGGAAGATGCTAGTAATAAAATGCTCTGGAAAGCACAAAGGAAAAAGTAAAATCAAAATAATATTCCTGGTAGATCCTTGTTAGTAACAAACTGAATTAAGAGCTTGTAGCTTTATAGGTTTTGTTCCTTTGCCCATTATTCCTGACTTCCAGGGACTGTTTTCACTTTACAAAATTCAACAAACATCTGTTCAGTGGCTATTGAATAGGCTCTGGATATCCAATGTAAGCAGTATATTCATT